ATCGGAACAGGCATACCACGACATCGACATGAATGAGACGGGCCCAGTGATAGTGTTTCTGTAGGAACACACACAGCATGAAATAGATGTGAACGGCAGGGGCAGAAGTTATAGTATGTTTATGCTCTATGCTACACTATAAAAAAACATGTCACATGTGTTGGAATATCTTTTAAACCATGGTTTTTGCATCACATGATACTGTAGTCTTATTGGATCAAGATGTTTTCATCTTATTAATCCTGCCCCATACCTAGGGATCTTGGCGACGCAATCTTACTTCAGAGTTGTGATCCTTAGTTGTGTCAGGATTCAGTTATCTTTGACACGTTGGGACAGAATGATAATGATCTGACTAGTCAATAGTTGAGTCCAGTAAATGCAGACTAGCGTGTGTACAAAGTTGTAAAAGCAAATGTTTTGACAACAAGTTGCTGGACACTTTGTACGGATTTTATATAACTTCAGAATCGAGTATAGATGAGAAAGTGAAAAGATTATGGTACCGGTGCAGGGTGTTGACAGATTTTTGTCCTCAGTTACCATGCTGGACTTATATGTGGCATTATTTGATATGTCACTTATACGAAGTTGTTTGATCACAATTAATGTAGTGATGCTTACATATAATGGTTATGTTATTTGAGGCCTTGTCAGTGGGGACAACTACAAACTGTTCATGTTGGGCAGCCAGACTTTAGAGGACAGCTGGCTGGGACAGACCGGGCTTAGAATAAATATCTAATATATCACTAACATCTACTAACTGTTTGTATAACAACACAACATATGTTTCTCTAGATGGCCACAAGGAATGAGTCACCAGCAAGCATCAAATAACAAAGAAATCAATTGAAAGTGTATTCATTCCATTATAAATTGGTTGTTTTTGTAGTTCAATTATATAACGATTTCGGCTCCAAGTTGTGACCACAACGTATGTTAAATATAGAAAACATAACAAATGGTGCCAGATATAAAGGCATTATGCGTTCTTTATTATTAACACTCATCTATTCACACAAGCATACACATTTCACTTTTGACAAAGGAATGAATATAGCTGTCATTTTGAGTCAGCAATACATTCATAATACATAATAGAATGCACAGGGACTCCATAACATTAAGACATAGTATTCGATTTGCAATCTGCCAATGTAAAGGCTGACTGCTCTTTATACATTATGACGGTCCTTACTCACGATTAACATTTGTGTGAGATGAATGCAAACATGTATAAATATGTACATGCAGGACATGTGACGGAATCTTTGGGAATGAACAACCTGTATATACATGTATGTTAACATGACATTATGAACGACAACACAAAACCACAAAGAGTTTATTATATTAAATATGCGTATCACTGTAAATGGAGTCGTTCAGCTTCAGTTTACACGAAATTACTTCAGCTTGGTCATGGATCAGAGATTGATCTTATTGTCTTTCAACTTTTGTTTCTTTAGATTGAGTTATGGTATTATATAAGTTGATATGTACAGTATATACTTATGCTAGCTAAGCCTGAACTTTTGAGAGGAAGGTCGACTGACACCTCTGAGAATTATATCATAACGAGTTGAAAGTATCGTGTAAATAATAAGCCGACATATGTATATGTACAGTTGTAAAACAGATAATGATACAAGCGTGTGTGTAAAAAGTATTTGACAAATAAAACATTTAGGTAAGAGTTCTAGGTTAATATTTATGGATTGCCTCTTGTCATTGATCAGATATTTTTACATAATAATGTTAAATCGGGAACCAAGTCTTACTCGCCTCTCATCTGAACCTAAGTGTTCAACCTCTGTACATGCATATAAAGGGTGGTTACAGACAAACAGCCTGCTGGAACACTGACCAGATCCTAGTGGCATAAGTTGCCGTTTTCCTTGTTTTGTGAAAAGGGAAATAGAACATCTGGTGTCACCACTGATTTTCATTTATGTTTTTTCGGTCACGTATGCATTACAAAGTCATGATGCTTTTTAATGTATAAGAGAATATTTCCTGTTTTCTCTTTCTTCATTATGTTTTAAATTAATGTATATAAATTTAACTTTCAAAAATCGCATTTTGTATTCAATATATTATTTCCTTATGTGGCTAACGTGCGTTTTGCCGACACTACCCACACAAGAACAGTCAGGATAAATTAAATATACGAGACACACAAGGCACAGATACTGTAGTTTCATGCTGGCAAGAATCAGGATGGGATACGATTGAAGTTGTTTATTGGGGGGGGGGGGGGGGGGGGGGGGGGGGTCGCGGGTGGCCCAGTCGAGGGTGCCAAAATACGACGTGCAGAATCCCATGGGTTCAATTTCCGGTTCTCCCCGATTATTTTTCTGAATGGGGTAAAAACCTAAAATTCGCCCTTATTATTGATATGTCATCCGAGTTAGATATTTTACACATCTTTAGTAACAGATTAACATAGAAATAGGGAAAGAGATTTGAGAAAAATGTAGTTTCAGCTTGTTGCATGGAAGGAAGGTGTAAACAAGTGGACAACCGTGAACTAGGTCGTCGTGACCGAGGACGAGGATTATGCATTTGTATTGAATGTTACATGCGCCTTTCCTAAACGGTATTCATATCAGCGGACTGACATTGAACCGTATTGTGCTTGTGTTTGAAAAGAAGTATAGTTTTGTGAATTCGTAACGTCGTACGTGTCACAAAGAACGTTCCAGAACGTTGTGTGTCCCTGATAACGTGTGTGAGGATATGAGGACTGCCAGTTACATTTTGACAGTGACTGGACGCGTGGTAAATATTATTTCTCTTACTGTTTTGGTAATAGGCATAGGGAAATCATAAATCATGGGTACCTTAGGTTTGTAGGTTTGTCTCTAGTATTCTGTATTATGTATGCAGGTGATACAGTACAACTTGACACAACAACCGGTCCCTGTGTCCGATGTATTTAGAGTCAGCCACTGAATTAGTTTATGACATTCAGTAGCCTGAAGTATGATGACAAACACTGGCCTGGAGTATGATGACATTCACTAGCCTTGAGTATGATGACATTCACCAGCCTGCATTATGATGACATTCACTAGCCTGGAGTATGATGACATTCACTAGCCTGCATTATGGTGACATTCACTAGCCTTGAGTATGCTGATATTCACCAGCCTACATTATGATGACATTCACTAGCCTTGAGTATGGTGACATTCACTAGCCTGGAGTATGGTGACATTCACTAGCCTGGAGTATGATGACATTCACTAGCCTGTATTATGATGACATTCACAAGCCTGGAGTATGATGACATGCACTAGCCTGAAGTATGGTGACATTCACCAGCCTGGAGTATAATGACATTCACTAGCATGGAGTATGATGACATTCACTAGCCTGAAGCATGATGACATTCACTAGCCTTGAGTATGATGACATTCACTAGCCTTGAGTATGGTGACGTTCACTAGCCTGGAGTATAATGACATTCACTAGCCTTGAGTATGGTGACGTTCACTAGCCTGGAGTATGATGACATTCACTAGCCTGGAGTATGGTGACATTCACTAGCCTGAAGCATGATGACATTCACTAGTCTGAAGTATGATGACATTCACTAGGTTGCATTATGATGACATTCACTAGCGTGGAGTATGGTGACATTCACTAGCCTGGATTATGGTGACATTCACTAGCCTGGATTATGGTGACATTCATTAGCCTGGAGTATGATGACGTTCACATGTCCTGCACAAGAAAGAGTAGGAATAAATACTCATGCAAAATATGTACGTGATATGAAAATACTTAGAGTGACAAGAAAATAGTATCACCAAGTGCACAGAAAAATTGCTATGCAAACTAAATGCAATGATATATATATCAAAATGCATAGTTTGTGCACTTCCATTATTGAAGATATACCTTAGCATATATACAAGATAATATTTAAAACACCATTGAACTTTCCTTACTTAGGTTAAAGTTTAACCTCTCACATTCATTCAAAACATCAACATTCATACAAATATATGATTTAAGATAAATATGATAATTATAGCTTAGATGCTTATTTATAAAGTCAAACCTTTGATTACTATTTAGATAAAAAACCTTTAGTAATGATCCCCTAATGCTCCAAATGCAGTGCAAAGTGAAAGTTGCAATATGGAGTTAGTCAGTGCAAGAAGGCATAGTTTGTATTCGGCCAATCACAGGGTAGCTTGGTATGTGAATGATCTGGACATAGAATGTAGGGATAAACACTACTTGTTGGACAACAAAATATACTGACAACCTGAAATGCCAACAAACCTCTGCAGAATATAATTCAACAGAAACAAAAGCTGAAATAAAACTACTTTCAAAAAGCTTAAATACAAATATATACACCTGCTACGTGAAGACACCGCTTATTAGTGTGTACAAACTGAAATAGTTGGAAGAATTATGTATGATAAATATAATCTCACCCTCGGATTTTTCCACTTTTCAACACGTGTTATATTTCATATCAAAAGACACTCGGGTGAGATTCTCTATTTACATAAAGATTTATCATCCAACGAACTGAAGACTCCTAGACTGGAATGCATCACTATTTCGCCTTTTTCGCCTTATGGAATCTGGTCTTTGAAAGGCATTTAGAAGCGATACACATAAGGAGAAGAATTTATGGATGCCAACTTCTTTATTATGAGAAACACAACGTTTCGGAGTATATGCTTGCTTCTTCATCATTCACCTGATGAAGGAGTAAGCATATACTCCACATAATAAATGTGTGTGTTTGTGTTGTGTGTGTGTGTGTGTGTGTGTGTGTGTGTGTGTGTGTGTGTGTGTGTGTGTGTGTGTGTGTGTGTGTGTGTGTGTGTGTGTGTGTGTGTATTTGTGTGTGTTGATTTTGTTGACAAAAATGAAAGTGAAGGTGCTGCTTCTTATTTAGTTTTGGTATCTTGAAAAATGTGTGTTGCGATTTCATATTTCTATACCAATAGGCATTCCTTTCATTGCAGGCAATTCGGGTATTGGTTCAAGTTTCAACAATGCTGATACTCTATGTACTTCTTGTACCAACCAGTGAGTACCTATGTCAACTGATAACTGGAAATGATATAATACTTACTACTCCCAATCTATACCTGTGAAACCAAACATGACATTGAGCGATACATGGGGCAAGGTTCATTATTAGGGCCACTAAGGTATTAGATGCTGAAGATTGCTGATAGGAGCCTTACCGACAAGAACAGTGATAGACGAATCAATCACTGATTCACATAACATTTGTTTAATTAAAACAGCTGTTTGGATGCCTACAGTTTGTCTCGTCGATGTTAACATAACAAGACTATACCACTGAAATATATATTATGGGATTTGATGCCTGGACTGAAGAACTGTTTGTGGATAGTCGGTTGTGTAGTAGAAATACAACCATGTCATTTACTTCGCTGAATGACGTTGACACTGCACGTGAATTCAGTGTATCGGTGGAACGTTCAGGAGGAATGTTCAGTGACTGTTGTATGTTTCCGGAAAATGAACTCTAAAACGCATTCAGCTTCGTGGATAACATTGAAATGCACGTGATATTCATGAATATTGGATATAAAAGCATGTTAATTAAGCTTTAGAGGAGTCTAGCACCAACCATCGTGGTGGCTAGATGTTAGAACGCATGGTTAGGCTAACATCGTTGGTTGCAGTTTAACCTTCAGTCACATTAGGACTGCTTTAGAAAAAAAGGAATACTACAATATCCGTGTAGTGCTTTGCCTTTAATTGCTTGGTATGTAAATACTAATTGTGGGATAATACAAGGTGATTACAAAACTTTATTTTTCATTTTTTCATTCCACTGTGAAACAAAATGGTAGCAGAGCGTGGTTTTTTCAAGGTAAGTTTTTAGTTGGGCTTGCATACATCATGTCGGAGGCTTCATGTTCAAAAATGTCAATCAATGCTAGAGCTACTTCCACGGAGGTAAAGGTTGCTTACATAGATGAGGCGAAAAATCCTAAAATAGAAATTGGTGAAAACATTAATAAAATTAAGAAACAAAAGGCAGCGGCTAAAACTGTTTTTACCAAATGTAAAAACAAACTGTATAATTTGATAGAACAAGCAAATCTTCCCTCTCGTAGGGCTGTTAGAGATGGAATTGACCAGGTAAGTTCGCTTCATCTGAAGGCAGTGAATGTCATGGTTGATTTGATTCAGGCATATTCAGATATTGGTGACATTGAAAATAAAAATCAAGTCGCCAAAGAACTTACGTCAATAGAAGTTAATGAAGAGGTTACTCAAACGGCTCAAGTTTACTTGAATAACAGATCAGATGCTACTTCAGTAAGCAGTATACGATCATGTTTGTCAAAGTTATTCCATGTACCAGATAAAAGTGAACAAAAAGTGTTTTCTGTTAAGAAAACAGAATACACTGACATTGAAAAATGCTTAGACAAGAATTTGGGCAAAGAGAAACATGAACAATTTGAATGTTTAGAGAAGAAGTCAAATGTTGTTGAAGGTTCTAGAGTTCATCATGGTGTTCATAGAGGGACACCTCCCATCACAACTAGTCACGAGCTGGGGGTAGATATGTGGAAACAACTCAGAAGAGTTTCCGTACCTACATTTAATGGTGACATTAAAATGTATGAGAATTGGAAAGCAGCATTCGTAGCCTGTATAGACATGGCACCAGCAACACCTGAATACAAACTGTTACAGTTAAGACAATGTCTTACCGGAGAAGCACTGAAAGTTATCCAGAGCTTAGATCATAGTGCGGCTGCATATGACATAGCGTTAGAACGTCTTGAGCGCAAATATGGTGGCAAAAGACGTAACATCGCTTTGAAGTTAGAAGAGAAAACAAAGTTCAAACCAATTTGACCTGGTAATGCAAGAGATTTAGAGAAGTTTTCAGACTTGTTGGATATTTTAGTGGCAAACCTTAGAGAATCGGACAAGTTAGAAGAATTGGGGGATGGCACGTTATATTCACAATTACTTAAGAAATTAACAGAATACATGGTAATACAATATCAGAGGTTGATATTTTAGAACCAGAGACAGGAATCTGTTGAAGTCCTCAGAGAATGGGTTCTGCAGGAAGCAGAATTTCAGGTCATTGCTACTGAAGTCATCAATGGGGTGTCTGAAAAGCAAAAATCACATGAACGTAAATCATCGGGTAAAGATGGTACTTTCTTTGGCAATCGCCAGAACAGGGATCGTAAACGTCAGTGTCAAATGTGTCCGGGTGCAAGTCATGACATTTGGACTTCAAAGCCCTGAGCGTTGCTAGAAGGTTGGAGGTTGCAAAGACGTTTAATCTTTGCTTCCGTTGCTTCGGCTCTAACCACTGTGGTAAGAGCTGCACTAGGTTAACTGACTGAGGTATAAATGGTTGTCCCGCAAATCACAATCGCTTACTTCACAATGGTGATAAAATCGGGGATATTGCAGAAAGTCCAAAGGTGAGTAGCCCCCAACATTCAGAAGATAACACACAAACCACTATGTCGACTACTCAATGTGACATGCCATACACAGCACTGACAACTGTTCCAGTAGTTCTTAAACATGGTCGTCGCAGGATAACAGTCAATGCTCTTTTAGATGATGCAAGTACGCAGACATATATAAACGAAGATGTAGCTGCGGAACTTGGATTGCAAGGCCATTATCAGAAAGTATCGGTAAATGTTCTGAATGGTAGAAAGAGTTTTGAGTCAATGACTGTTGATTTTGGACTAGAAAGCATTGATTGTTCTGTTGATATATCAATGTCGGCTCTTACAACGACAAAGGTTACAGGAAAAATGCAAGTTGTCGATTGGAAAAAAACATGGTGAAAAAAGGAAACATTTGAATGGGATAAAATTTCCAAAACTTGGTTCTCGTTCTGTGGTAGATATTTTCATAGGCATTGACTACCTTGACCTTCATCGTTCTTATGAAGAGGTAAGTGGTTGTCAAGGGGAACCTGTTGCAAGGCTGACTCCACTCGGATGGACATGCATAGGACATGTTCCTGGGGTTGGTGGATATGAGACACATTTTGAAAGTACATTTTTCACTGATAACAATGAAAGAGAATTACAGAATCTGAACGGTTTAGTGAACAAGTTCTGGGAAGTAGAAAACTTTTCATGTGGCCCAATGAATGAATTCAATGATGGTGAATTGGCTGCAATTGAAATTGTAAGAAAGACACTTCAATACAACAATGGTACCTATCAAGTAGGTATACCATGGAGATATGACACTCAGAGGCTACCAGATAACTATAACATGGCTTTCAATCGTCTTCTTAGCACTGAGAAGAAGTTGTCCAAGGACAAACCGATTGCTGACGCTTATGGTTCTGTTCTAGATCAGTATTTGCAGAAAGGATACATTCGAAAGGTGTCCTCTGCAGAGGTACAAGATAGTAAATGGTTTCTACCTCATTTTCCAGTTGTACGTCCAGATAGGACTACAACAAAAGTACGCATGGTTTTTGATGCTTCTGCAAAGTGTCAGGGAGTTTCACTCCATGACATAATACATCCAGGACCAAAGTTGCAGAATGATTTATTTGAAATCTTGCTTCGTTATAGGAAGCAACCCATAGCACTTGTTTGTGACATCGCTGAGATGTATCTCCAACTTGAAGTGAAAACTGAAGACCGTCCATACCTAAGATTTCTGTGGCGATCTATGAATTCAAATGAGAACCCACAGGTGTTTGAGTTTAACAGAGTGGTGTTTGGTTTAAACTGTTCACCATTCTTAGCCCAATACATTTCTCAAGAACATGCAAAAGAACATCAACATGATTTTCCACTTGCTGCTGAGACTGTCGCAAACTTCACATATATGGATGATAGTAGGGATTCAGTGGAAGATGACATGACTGGGGTAGAGTTGTATGATCAATTGACTGAGCTATGGTGCACGGCAGGCATGCACGCCAGAAAATGGCTCTCAAATTCGTTGGATGTCCTTGTTGGAATTCCCTTTGAATCCAGGGCACAGAGGGTCAACATAAACAAGAATGAGTTGCCTTCAGTGAAAACGCTAGGCCTTATGTGGATAGCAAATGATGATGAGTTTAGTTTTTGTATGAATGTTCCTGAGAACATCGTGAGAATGACGAAACGAATATTTCTCAGAGAAATTGCAAGGATCTTTGATCCGCTTGGATTCCTGACACCTTTCACCATTAAAGGGAAAATGATGATTCAAGAGATGTGGATAGCAGGTTTCAGCTGGGATGAAGAAATCGATCCTGATCTGAAAATTAGAACTTTGAAATGGTTAGCTGAAGTTGAAGAGCTATGTCATGTCCGAGTACCAGGGTGCTTGAGATTGAAATCTGAAATTGAAAGCAAAACATTTCATGTATTTGCAGATGCATCACAAGATGCATATGGGGCAGCAATATATGCCGTCTATACTTACCAAAGTGGGGAAGTATCGAGTCGGTTAGTTACGTCCAAAAGCAGGGTTGCTCCTCTTCAATCTGTATGCATTCCAAGAATGGAACTCATGGCGGCAATCCTTTGTGTCAAGTTGTTTGTTGCTTCAGCAAATGTGTTAGGGATGACCACTTCAAACACCAAACATTGGTGTGATAGTATGAATGTTCTGTGCTGGATTAAAAGCCAGAGTAGAAATTACAAATCTTTTGTGGCCAATCGCATTGGTTACATCCAGGAAAATACCAGTCCTTGTCAGTGGAAATATGTTCCATCTAAATTAAACCCTGCAGATATAATTACCAGAGGTACATCGGCAGAGAACCTAGTGAGTAGTACATGGTTGATGGGACCAGAATTCCTGACTCTGAAAGAAAGTGAATGGCCAGAACAAATAGGTGGGTTTCAAAATGAGAGTACTTTAGAAATGACAAAACTGGCCAGCAAAAGAGAAATGGTTACGCTAATGTCCGAGGGTGATGATGATACTTGGCGTCTTCATCCATCCAGATATTCTGACTGGAAGAGATTGACTAGAATATATGCTTGGGTCTACAGATTTGTTTCCAATGCACGTGTTCCATCAGAACTACGTCACAGCGGTGATCTGGATGTAGAAGACGTCATAGAGGCTGAAATGAAAATCATTAGTCACATGCAAAAACAGGAATTTGCAAAGAGTATTCCGCACTAAAGAACGGAAAACAGTTACCAAATAACAGCAAACTCATCGGACTTCAGCCAGTACTTGATGAAGAAGGAATCATTATATCCAGTGGCAGGTTGAAATATGCTGATTGCTTGTCATTAGAGACACGGATTCCAATAATCTTGCCTCGAAAAAACTGGGTGACAAGACTGATTGTCAAAAATTACCGCGAAGAAGGTAACCATGCTACAGGTACAAATCAGACTTAGCAGCACTCTCCTCACGCTATTGGATCATCGCTGCTCGTGAAGAGATTCGCGCATGGGAGACAGAATGTGCATTTTGTCGGAGAAAAAAGGCTAAACCAAAACCTCAAATCATGGCTCCACTTCCAAAGGTAAGAGTACGCTACTCAATGAGAGCATTTTCACAAGTTAGAGTGGATTATGCGGGACCTTTCTTAACAATTCAAGGAAGGTCAAAGAAAAGACAAAAACGGTACTTGTACTTTTTACATGTTTGTCAACAAGGGCTGTACACCTTTAAATGTCGTATGGGTTGGACAGTGACTCTTTTCTGAATGCTTTCTTTCGCATGACAAATAGACGAGGCATGCCGAGGGAGGTGATATCAGACAACGGTACCAACTTTGTAGGTGCAGTGAAGGAAATGAGAGAACTTGTCAACAAACTTGATGTGACTGCTAAATCGTCCTTAGCAAATAGGGGAATCATTTGGAGATTCAACCCTCCTCATGCACCACATTTCGGTGGTGTATTAGAATGTATGATAAAATCGGCAAAAAGGGCTATCTTTGCCATTCTAGGTAAAGGAGATATCACAGATGAAGAACTAACTACAGCATTTATTGCTGCAGAAGCACTCATCAATTCCCGTCCACTTACGTATCAAAGTGCTAACAGTCAAGATGATGTACCCTTAACACCAAATCATCTTATGCACGGACAAGTTGTTGGAACGTTTGCGCCTGAGTATGTTGACACGACATCATTCAACCCAAGGAAGCGTTGGAGAAGAATACAAGAACTTGTCAGGCACTTCTGGAGAAGGTGGTTGAGGGAGTTGCTGCCGACTCTACAAGTCAGAAAAAAGTGGAGAAAGGCCAGTCGAATTAACAAGTGAATGATGTTGTGATCGTTGTAGCACCAGAGTCACCACGTGGAAGTTGGCCCCTGGGGAGAATCATCAATACTTACCCAGCAAGGATGGACATGTTGGAGTGGTTCAAGTCAAAATGGGCAAGTCTACACTCATCCGACCGGTGACGAAGGTATGTCCTCTGGAGTGGAACTCGGAGGATGACTCACCAGACCAGGAATGTTCATCTGAGACGCAACGGGAACAGGAGGAAGCAAAAGAGGATAATTCGTACGGAGGACAAGGTCAAATGATCGAAATCAGACCATTCGAAACTGGATACAGTGCGAGGCAATTCTGAGGATATCATCGCAGAATGAGGAAACATTGTGTGTGTGAGGATGTTGTATTCTACATTGAAATGTGCATTATAGTGTAATGATTCATGGATGTTTTCATGTATTCTGATAGACAGGAGTCTATCATCGAGGTGGGAAATGGACTGAAGAACTGTTTGTGGATAGTCGGTTGTGTAGTAGAAATACAACCATGTCATTTACTTCGCGGAATGACGTTAACACTGCACGTGAATTCAGTGTATCGGTGGAACGTTCAGGAGGAATGTTCAGTGACTGTTGTATGTTTCCGGAAAATGAACTCTAAAACGCATTCAGCTTCGTGGATAGCATTGAAATGCACGTGATATTCATGAATATTGGATATAAAAGCATGTTAATTAAGCTTTAGAGGAGTCTAGCACCAACCATCGTGGTGGCTAGATGTTAGAACTCATGGTTAGGCTAACATCGTTGGTTGCAGTTCAACCTTCAGTCACATTAGGACTGCTTTAGAAAAAAGGAATAAAACAATATCCGTGTAGTGCTTTGCCTTTAATTGCTTGGTATGTAAATACTAATTGTGGGATAATAAAAGGTGATTACAAAACTTTATTTTTCATTTTTTCATTCCACTGCAAAACAATGCCTTTTTCAGTCATGACTGTCGAGGGCGACAGAGATTGTGAGAGGGGGAAGTATGGCGAGCACTGCAAACTAACCTGTCCCCAGAACTGTGCCCCTATTCTACCAAGTAATCTTCAGCCCTGTGACAGAGACACCGGGAAGTGTTCTGTAGGATGTCTGAGTGGTTGGCATGGTGATCTGTGTGAACAAGTCTGCAACATGAACTGTCCAGAGAAGACATGTAACCAGCAAACTGGGCACTGTACCCTTGACTGCAATGGAACCAACGTGGGAGTGTTTTGTAACGTCAGTCGAGGTGAGATCAATTTAACTTTGAGTTAATGAAATGCTTAAAACGTCATTCCAGCGACACACTTTTGTGCAAGGATATCGTCCTTGTTAGTCTAATATATCCACACTTACCACATTCATTAAAGTTTGAGGCTCGAATTGTAACCAAAGCGCAACTTTCGGAGATCAAAATACAAATTAATTTAATGTTTACAAAAAAAAGTCCATAATCATAAGAAACCTCGTAAAAACAGATACGATTGCACGAATCTCTCGTTAACATTAGCATGTGTTCATGAGCTGCTTTCAACCAGTGATGATAGATGTTTGCGAATCCTGTCCCACCTGCACGGACCCTTGTATTGGGATATGTTTTAATTTCTGTTTGGAAAATATTTTATGGAAAACATCAACTTATATGTCCAAAGCGGATATATATAGGCCTCTTTTGTTGCCGAATATAAACCATTTAGCATGCCAAAGACTCAAGGGAATTCCCTTGTGACTGCAGCTAAAGGGAGACAACTCGTGTCCCGTTACCTCTTATAGAGAATGTTTTGTTGAAAGTTATTAAGTGCAAAATTAAAAAATCGCTCCCTATTTTTCTTATTGCAAATGTCCCCAACAACTGTACGTACAGTCTATAATCCTAGCACGTGTTCAAATACCGTATATGATACTGCGACACACTGGATGCTTCCTGATGTGAACCTTTCCGAACACTTACATTTCCACACTGTAAAGGTTTGATCACAGCTACCATATTGAAAACTTTGGTGTTGATATGAAGTATGAAGGAAGTGCACATGTTTTATTTTTGATTCTTTTGTCCAGAGTGTGGTCGTGGCTGGTATGGCGATCTGTGTCAACACCCCTGCAGCATCAACTGTGTGGAGGAAAGATGCAACCACGCAACTGGAGCCTGTATACTCGGCTGCAATGGGACTTACACAGGGGAGTTTTGCAACAATACAAAAGGTACGAATATACATATGGGTAATGTATGAGCAAAGGAAACCTGTCGAGGTTTAGCTCATGAGTGAGCTACATTGTAGCTGTATTTACGTCAAGTCTGTTCTGTGGGTGAGGGGAGGCAGGTATACGAAAACAGCTCAGTACATTGTTCCAGGGACGAGGGGCAAAGGTCCAGATTGAAACAAGAACCACCAAAGTAACATTGATGAAGCTGCCCAATTGCGATCTAAATGAAACTGATATTTTATTTTTTTGAGTTATTCACATTCCAAGTAACAGCCCTACTTAAAATAAAAATAGTAAAATAATAGTAAAATGTTGTATCCAATTTTGTGATGTCTATTGAAATAATTACGAACGTAGTATGATTACCGCTGCGTTAAAAATAGACCTGTGAAAATCCGGGTTACAATTGGTATTCAGAAACTCATGCTTGCCGTAAGAGGCAACGGGACTGGGTGGTGAGGGTCTCTCATTTGGTTGATGAATGTCATGGTGTTCCTACAACGTAGATCGATGCGCATCATGTCAATCACTGGATTGTCTGGTCCAGACTTAATTATTCACAGACCGTCATCACATAGTTGGAATATTGCTGAATACGGCGTTAAACAACAAACAAACATAACGCGAATAATATATTGTATTGAACATATTTCCTACTTCAATGTAGGTTAGTGAAAGAGAAGTGATACAATAAAAGTGGTGTTCGATTTTGAAACCTGAAATAAAGTTATAGGCAAAGACACATCTGCAAAACCATCATCCCCAACAACCAAGCACCCCCAACAACAAATGACAGGCCTGAGCTGCAAATACAATATTTTATTCATGCCATTGCTGTTTGGTTAATCCAAATCTCTCATTACACAAGATTGGTACCAGATTAATTATTCCTGAAGATATGCTAAGCTAGTACGTTATTGTGTGTAGATTGTTTGTCTGAACATTTTTTTATATGCTCATCAACTTCTTTGACTCCCGTAGCTGTGAACAGCAAGGAAGAAGCAAACAGCCTGGCTGCCGTACTCGTTATTGTCTTCCTGACTGCAGCTGGCGCCGTCATAGTCCCTGTCAAGGTGTTCTTAAGGTACATATGCTTCATTGAGTGACAATTGAATACCCGACTGCGGAGGTCCACAAAGATAATTGCATGTTACGTGATGCGCTAGTTTGTTCAAGACTGTATCATTAAAATGTGAATTTGTCAGGGCATTACCCATGAACGCATGGATAATAAGACTTTAATTTATTGTGGAACGCTTAGTTATTTCATATTAGAATGTCATGAGAACCATCGAGGAGATATTTTAGATTAGGCCTGTCAATTTTGGGCGTTTGGGGGAATTCTACCGTGATCCTGTTCATAATTCTAAATTCAATTTAAATTTGCTATTTTCGGACCAAATTTAATTTTAATGAGGTAAGGAGACATGATGGAGAAGTTGTAATCTGTATTCGCCAGAGATTATGATTGCTGTACTGTCTCTCTCATTATATTGGGTTTGTGCGCACACACATACACGTACGCACGCAGACACACGCGCACGCACATACACACATACACGCTCGCACGCACGCTCGCAGACACACACGCACGCACGAACACATACACGCACGCAAACACACACACATCATGCGCGCACGAAGATATACACGCACGCACACACTCATACACGCATGCACACACATACATGCACGCGCACACACATGCACGCACACATACACGCACACATACTAGCAGGCACACACATACACGCACGCACACACACATACAGGCACACACACATAAACGCTTGCGCACATACATAAACGCGCGCACACACATATACACACACGCACACACTCATACACGCGCAGACACACATACACGCACGCTCACACACACATACACGCACACACATACACGCACGCCCACACATACACGCACGCGCACACACATACAAGCACGTACGCACTAATACACGCACGCACGCACGCACACGTACGCGCAATCACACACATACACGCACGCACGCACCCATACACGCAGGCATGCACACATACAAGCAGGCACACACATACAGGCACACACACATACACCCTCGCGCACGCACATATACACACACGAACATACTCATACACACGCAGATACACATACACGCACGCTCACACACACATACACGCACACACATACACGCACGCACATGAACGCACGCACGCATACACGCACGCACGCACACGTACACGCATGCACATACAAACACGCACGCACGCACGCACGCACACACACCAAAACGCACGCACACACAGCTACACGCACGCACACACTCATACACACACGCACGCACGCAAACATGCACGCACGCATGCACACACACAACTACACACTGATGTATGTGTCAACAAAACATGATCTGTTATGGTGCTAGTTAATATTTCTAAGCCTCATGTTTTGAAAAAAGTCGATCCACAGATTACGTGTATCTGTTTCCTCTTTCAAGTAACAGGGGCAAATACACTCTGGTGTGCACTACAAATGTACTTTCTCTGGATTTTATGATGAGATATAATGCCATTGTCCAATTCTGTCACATCTATCTGTCAGATCAGCATATACTTAATGGTGTTCAATATTCAATAAACAAAACGCGACATTGCCACAATAAATTTCGGCTAAGCCGACTGTGTCATGAATTGTGTCTGTGAATCACTATGAAATACTGATGACACCAGGTGTTAACGAATAGGTGAGCGTATCCTGTCCCACAAGTAGCACCCATCACATACACATACAAAACCAAGTCAACTACCAAGTTAATTACAATAACCAATTCATTAAGTAGGTGTGTTCTTCTTTTTGCAGATGGCGGAGAGAACAGTACAGGTAATACAACAGTCAATACCCATAAGATGGCCCTAGTCGTCAAAGGCGCCGAGATTCGCTGTGCAGAGTTGCTTTCCTTGGACACGCCAGGAACCTGTGACCTTCCCGTTCGAATCCCGGTTTGCCCCGATTATGTTTTTAGGTTTGTCAGCACCATACCCGTGCTCCTGGGTTTCACTGAAGTGCTAAACGTCTGAGACATGCATCACTTCGGGCTTTTTCCTCCACATTAAGCTGACACGCTGCAGTACAACTGGAATATTGTTCAAAGCGGCGTCAAACACAACTCACTTACTTACTTTCTCAGTGTTCATAATGGCAGCAATTGTTTACGAATTCTGACGCAGTCTATATCTGGTATGCAGAACATACAATTTAGACTGGGTCCTTCGGCCTATGTACGATGTGTGATGAGGATAAAGCAATATATACTCAACAACAAAAGTTCCTGTGACACCAATATTTTAGTGTATTTTTCAAACAAGTAAGTTTGGTTTTCAATATTGTAGTACATGTATGGAATCAAGTCGCAAAAACGCAACTGCTACAGAAAAGCATGCATTCCAAGCAAAAGTTGACTTTTATGCAAGCCCCATGCATTTCACTACCCAATAATGGGTATAAAAACGTGCGTTAACGGGATTCCATATGCCTTTTTTAGCATCGTGCTGACAACAGCCACTTAGAAAACAACACAACTACGCAATTATTCAACATTTCGAAATGCCACGCCTGTCCGAAAATGAGCGTCTGCGAGCCATTGGTATGCTTGACGCAGGATCGAGTCAACGTGATGCTGCAAGACAATTTAACGTCCACAGAAACGCAATTTGGTGTTTATGGCAACGTTGGCAACAGACGAATGCAGTCAAAGACCATCCTCGGAGTGGCAGGCCACGCGTAACCAATAATCGACAAGACAACTGGATTCGAACAACACACCTGCGAAATCGATTCCAGCCAGCAACACTGACTGCAAGAAGCATCCCTTGCCTTCGACGAATATCTTCACAAACCGTACTCGTCGCCTCAGATGTGCAGGGATTGTCGCCAGAAGACCCGCCAGACGTCCCATTTTGACAGGAAACCTCCGTCAAGCACGTCTACGGTGGTGCAGACAGCGTCTACGCTGGACGGCCATGCAGTGGGGACAAGTTCTATTCACTGACGAGTCTCGTTTTCAACTCAGCCACAGCGATGGACGGATTCGAGTGTACCGACTTCGAGGTGAACGTTACGTATATCATTGTGCCATGGAAGAAGATCGGTTCGGGGGTGGCAGCGGTATGGTATGGGTGGGATTACAGCAAGACAGAGGATCCGTTTGATAGTGGTAGAGGGTAATCTCAATGGACAGCGCTACCGCGACGATTTCATCGGCCCTGTTGTTCTACCGTTTTTGCGTCGTCATGACCCAGGCATTACTTTTCAAAATGACAACACCCAGCCTCATATTGCTCGACTTGTTCAGGATTCTCTTCAACTAAACAACCTGAATGTCATCCCCTGGTCGGCTCGCATTCCTGATCTCTCAACAATCGAACACATGTCGGATGAGACGGATCGGCGCCTTCGACGTCAACAATGTGTTCCTCAAACACTCCAGGAACTTCGAAACATGCTCCAGCAGATATCAGACAGATATCCCACAGGACTTTGTGCGACGCCTTGTCCATTCCATGAGACGAATATGTGCTGCTTGCGTCGCAACCAGAGGTGGACACACACGCTATTGATTTGTAAATTGACATTTTGGCATGTTCATGTTTTTTTTATGAAATCATTTTCTGAAGTCAGTATGGCAAATTAAACCATTTGAACACTTACAGGAGTCTTTTGTCTGTTGGAAGCTGAAATTCAGATTTGGTAAAAATCAAAACTTTGCATTAAATGTTATTCAATGTCACGGGAACTTTTATTTATATTTAATAAATAATATTCAAGTTTCAAGCCCTCAAAATGGAAAACTGTCAAAGATACGAAAGACATTGATCAAATAGTTGCTGAGCAGCCTAGCGTACTTTGCAAGTTTTGAATTTCGGACACGATCAAAGGAGTACGAATGACAATAACTAACTTTAAAAGGACATACAGCTGTGTCTGTTAATGCGCGAATATAAATACGATATTTCCCGAAATCCTCTAAAATAAGTGTTGTTTCACGTTTGTAAGCTTTTGTTGAAAGTCCAAAACATGCAAGTTCTCTATAGCTTTGTCCACATGTTTTAGTACATGAGTGTGTGCGTTCATGTTTGTAAATATAACCATATATGTTAACGTGCTTGTTAACCAATGTCAGTGTACTTATATTTATATCCAAATATAATTGTTAACTGTGCACATGCTTATGAATCAGACCTACCAAAAGAATGACTTTCCTGAACACCCAGGCAGTCCAATGAACGATAATGTTAATTGTGTAAAACCAGATGACAAATTATTTTCTTCTAAAATCTTCTGGAACAGGTTTCCAAATTAATCCACACCAACCCCCAACCGGACCAACAATGTCAAATGGATGGCTCCGATGCTGACAATGTTGAAAAACACTCGTATATTTAGTTGTTTTTCCATCTACATTAATGTTTGGCTGTACATTGTTATGTACTTTGAAAGGAGACGAATATAGATAGTTTTTTTCTTAAACATTTTGTTTGGGAAATGTGACGAAATCAGTTGAAATTGATATTCTATTTGTTCTTTGTTTCAGGGCACAAGGTCAGAGTAAGTACCATATTTCCAATTTGGACATTTGTTCATTGCAGGAACGTTCCTGAACTTTTTGAGAACTATATTTGAGTAAGCATGGGGATGAAATGCTTCCTGTGATATATCTCCTAAATGAAAACAGTACACAATCACGTCACATTCAGCGTACATCAGGTAAAACATAGTCGAGTGACATTTATTGTGGTTGTATATTGTGTAACACACTGCAGAAAACTAAGCAATGAGGTCAAGATCATAACCTCTCCCAAGTTAAACTATCATGACTATATTTGAAAATATGCTACCATAAGGTATCACAGCGAATAGAGGATACTTTTATGGAACAATACAAACTATTCTAAATGCTACATGGCCGAAGTAATGTGAGGCAAATTGCAATCAATTGGATTCTTGTGTTATACCTTATATCTTAAAAATGTAAAAAACTTTGTAGAAGTATACGAGCAATGGCCTCTTGAACCTACAAAGTATACGACTGCAACTAACTTGGACAGCTCTCCAGAAACACCATGCCTTTATCGCCTGAACAATTCTATGATGTAATAACGACAGAGTCAGAAATATTCAAGCTTTCCCAGCAACCCGTTAATAAGAACACATTCAACTTTTTGGATACCAACTTCTGGTTTATTGCATACAGCGACATTTCGGTGAAGAATTGTTCACCGTTATCAAGCTGGGATGACTAAATGTAGCATAATTGGTGTGTTGAGATAAACAGCAGATTAACATTTACAATAACAGATAATGGATAACAAGTAGTACCACACATATATTGATGAAGCCAGAACTAGATTTGCTTCCATATATCATCTATAGCTGATCTGGTTCTGTTCACAGGTTCAGCGGAAGTGGAACATTTTCTCCCAGGTATGTGTGGAATGTAACATCACTGTGAAATCCTTTAAGGCTGATATGTCAGGTATAGTTTGTTTGCTCACATGAGCTTTCGGTTAAACTGAGCATGTTGTGTGGGCATTGTCTGTCATCAATCTGTTTTAAATGTTCCCGGGGCTGTCGGGTAGCCCAGTGGTTAAAGCGTTCACTCGTCACGCCAAAGACCTGGGTTCGATTCGCGGCATGGGTACAATGCGTGAAGCCCATCTGTGGTGTCCCCAGCCGTGATTTTGCGGGAATATTGCTAAAAGCGGCGTAAAAACATACCCACTCACTCACTCTAAACGCTTTCTCTGAGTCTGAAATTACTGTATGGCTATATGTCAACATGACAACCAATTAAAAATGGCAGTTTGCCAAATGAATCGCAAAAGTTAATCATGTCATTTACATTTTACGTGCATTTTGATATATAACGATTAGTATAACTCTACTTTGAATACGTGTGTGGAGTCAAATTTGGCATACCAAGAGTATTGCCTTCCAGGATATGTCAATACCTAGCCCTCTTACGAATTTGTAAAAACATAAATAGCTGAATATCTCTCTTGTTTGTAAACAAACGCGATTACTCTGAAATTAGAACATACTGTCCTGATGCAAGCCTTTCGATCCGCTTTACATATTGTTTAGCATAATTAAAAAGGTATGCTACTTCAAATGCCAAAGTACAGTGCATGACAATATATCTTTATACATCAAAGTGGCCGTATTGCTTGCCCTCCGTAGGGCTTCGATAACAGCACGTTGAGCCGCACAACCCACGTAAACAAAGGATAACTACACAAAAAAGATTTTGTCAGGGTATTTTCTCAATGAAAGTTAATCCCTCTATGACGTCTGTTTATCTAAGTGAAACACATTACACACTAATACAATATCTAGAATGGACTGTGTTAGATGTGACGAATCATCACATGGCGCTGGCCTGTGGCAGAAGTACTAGACAGGCACACATGGAACTCTGAGAGTCTAATTGGTACTTGTATATCTTGCCTAAATGTCTTACCCCCAAATTTGACACAGAGGTTATCAGTTATGAAGTTCTGCATTTCACATATATTTTAAACTTTAGATGGCATTTGCTTTCATTATTGACAAATTGTCTTGAACCTCTGAAAATAGATTTGTAACTGTATATGTGGTCACGAATGCCCCATGATAAAAAATGAAGCATTTCCGTTAGTCTGCTGTTACTAATTTTTGCCATAAAATTTTTGGCTGCGGTAATAAAACAGATGAGCAGTCAGAGAAACCATGAAATGCAATTAAAACATCCGAGCCAGAAGAAGGCGGACTGTGTGCCAGCCCGATCGTTGTTGAAAGCGCGACAAACCTGTGGAAAATGTTTAAGCCTGTTGGCTGACCTTTTCGTTTGGGTGACAATTTCGTCTGTATTTTTTTACATGCTGTTTAACACTATTTCCGTTTTCTAACTTGATTTTGGTCAAACATTTGTTATTTGTCATACCCAAAAGTATTAATATGTGCAAAGTTGTTATGTGCTTTCAAACAATGGAGTCAATTTTGCATACTGGACATCTCTTCTGAAATAAACAGACCAATGAATCTAAAGCTGTGTATGGAAGATTACTTTACCGTGTCCTTTCCAGCGAACAATTTAGATTTTAGCATCAAAACGCAAATAATATATTTCCTTTTTTTGCAAGTACATCCTAGCTCATTATGTTGTGTTGAAATATAACCATTGCATTACAAGTATTACATTCATTGTTGCAGATTACGAAGCTGGAAACAATTTTCATTGTTATCTTATGATGATACCTTAACTCCATTATATATGAGCATCAATGCTACAAGCATAGTGTTAAGTCGCTGTGTTGACATTCTGCATTCGTAGCTGTATATCCAGGTGAATAAGGGAACATTTAAAACAAAAACGATATGCATTGATCAACCATATGCTTCTTCATCCTTTAGAGTCATCCAATGAGGAGTCACCTACAAACAGGGGAGTCTTGAGTGAAAGTATGTTTTATACAGCTGCATTGTAGAAACTTAGAAACTAAACATTTAACATACTGTGGATTTAACTAAAATATTTCTTGCAGTATCTTTTAAAGTAGTTTTTTTATGTTGAATATTTGTGGCGATTGTATGTGTTATGCATATATGTAGACCATTAAATAAAGATACAATTTAACAATTTAATCTTTATCTTTATCAACAGAAGAACTTGAAGAAGAGATGAGGAAGACAGCAAATGCTTTTGTCGCAACCAACAATTATGGAATTGTGAAGCTTGCCTTAGAGACACACGGTCACGTGACGATGGGTGGTGTAGAAGGAGAAGGAAAGAAGGACATTGCTTTAAAGTTGGGAAAAGAGTATCGTGACAAAGGCTATGAGTTGGTTTATGTTGTTGATATTTTGAAACTTAAGCTGCAGCATTATTTTGCTCAAGGGAAAAAGATGTGTTTTATTTTTCATGACGTATTGAGAACACTTGATTTACCAAAGGATAAAGCACCCCTCCAAAATATTTTGCAGATTCTTAAGTCAAATTTTGAAAAGCGTAAAACTGGAAACGAACACAAACTATGTGCCATCTTTACTGTGAACACCTACAAAGGTGAAATACAACAGCTTGGTGAAGCAGGGGCCTGTTTCTTCAGCGGTCCTCCATTCGTCGACTTCAATTTGATGTCTCTCAAGTACACTTTGGATGACAAGAAGGCGATTTTAGAAAAACATTGTAAAGATGCTACCACAACACTGGATGTGGAAAAGATTTGTGGATTTGATCATTCTACATTAGGCTTTATTCGAACATGCAAACTGTTTCCAAAGTTTCAACAGCATGGTGAAGAGTTTTTCAAGCATCCTTTCTACTTTCTACAACAGGAACTGAAAATGATTATAGATCGTCAGAATGATCAGTCAGCTGCGCTGATCCTAATGTTTCTGTGTCAAGGTTCACTTAACCTGCGACAAGTGGAGACACGGTCTGAAAATCAAGCTGTCGAGGACCATTTGACCAAAGTGCGAGATGTTGTTCAGATAAGAACGCGGGCGGGCGTGGCAAATGCTGTCAGACAATTTCCAGACGGGTTTTTAAAAGAAGGAGACATCACAACATTTGCACACCAAACCATCTATGATGCGTGTGCTTGTGCGTTATTCAGTCTAAATCCCTCTATAGTCTTGGAACATTGCCATATAGCGTTTCTTAATGAGCATGTACAGTGTGACCAATATTTGGACACTTCTACAGTTGAGAAATATCAGCCTTCTATCCATGTATCACATGTCTACACAGGGATCATTGAGAAAAGACGAGGTAGTATATCAGCATTATTATTTGAAATTTAACAATTTATGAATTTATAATAATTGATAACAATTCCAGTGATCATCATTTTCTCTTAAAATTGAAAATGTTGAAAATATTTCCAAAAGAATTTGAGTAACCACGGATAGATGGACAGTGCCACTGATGTCAAACATGATTAACCTTTTGCAGTGAAAGTTTTCTGTTTGGTTTTGTTAATCAGCATCAGGGAGGAAACAGAGTGGCTCCACATTTCAGCGGGAGGACAACAGCAATGCTGGTGTCATGAGCAAAGGTTAAATACATAATATTTTAGATGATCAGTGTTTTGCAAAAACAAATGTTCACATCTATTTAGTTCAAATGTAAATGACACTGGATACATACAACTTGAAATGATATCCCATAACAACAATAAAAACCTTTCATAATTTCAACGTGAAAACATCCTGTCTGCCTTCATTACAGGCCACATAATGAGATTGATGCTTCATTTTTCAACCGTATCTGAAGGTTATGTTTGTGTTTTCTTGTTTATAAATTTAGACATATTTGATGTACTTATCTTTATTTATAGAGCTACTGGCCAAAGAGATTGCAAAGATAGAAGAAGTATTTGTTAAAACAGAAAACTTCAGGAAAGTGAGGGAAACATTGGAGAAACATGGACATGTGACAATGAGTGGTGCTGCAGGTGGGGGGAAGAAATCTATTGCTCTGATGTTAGGGAAACATTACCAGAAGGAAGGCTTTAAGGTGGTCCATGTAGTGGATGCTTCCAAGTTTAAACTGGATGATAAGAAAGCGCCTGGGGAAAAGGTGTGCTTCGTATTTCATGACATATCCAGGACAATAGACCTGAATCGTGATATCGATCATGTCAAATCAATTTTGGGTGAAATTGAGAGCGGTCAAACTAAAGATGAAAACAGAAAACGTGTGCGTATTATGTTTACCTTGAACACATACGATGACAATGGTGGTAGATCGCTGCTTGGTGACGATAAAACCGTTTTTTTCAGTGATAAGTCGTTCCTCGACTTTAACCAGATGTCTTGTCAGCACACACCTGAAGAAAAGAAGAAGGTTTTGTCGAAGCATTGTAAAGATGTGGTCACCAACCTTGATGTGGACGAGATTTGTGGATTTGAACAAAACATCCTTGGCTTTCCTCAAACATGCAAACTTTTTGCTGTGTTTCAATGTTTTCAAAACCGCCAAGAAGAATTTTTTCGTGAACCTTTCTGCTATCTAAGGGAAGAAATGAAATCAATTCTTGCCCAAAAGAATGATCAGTCAGCTGCCCTTGTCCTGATGTTTCTGTGTGAAGGTTCAGTTAACTTGCAGCAAGTGGAACTGCCATCTGACAACAAGGCATTGGAGAAGCTGCTCACAGAAATGACAGATGTTGTAGAAATCACAACGCGGACAGCTTTAGCCAGGGCTGTCAGACAATTTCGTGGCAGTTTTTTCACAAAAGGAGACATCACAGGATTTGCACATCCTGCCATCTATGTTGCTTGTGCCTGTGCCTTAAGCGAAATCAGCCAAGCCTTTGTCCTGAAACACTGCAGTATGAAGTTCCTTTGTGAACATGTACAGATCAGGGACAAAACTGTTGCTGATAATGTGTGTCAGCCCATAATCTATGTAACAGAACACTACCGTGTTGACATTGAAAAAAGGTTGCCAAAATTTCCGAAACATCAGACATTTTATAACACCCAAAAGCGTTTGGTGGACAACTAATCTGGTAATAGCCGGATAAGAAAAAACGTGTTTGAGCCTGTGTATGTCAGCAGTTATATGCAATTAGGGTGGTTTTTCATTGGGACACATGCAAACAGAATCATATGTCATATCTAGGCCATCATCAGGGCCTGAGAGAAGGATTTACTGAAGGCCAATGAACCCTGGTACAGAATTTCCATTGATTGGCATATATTTATAGCAAATATAACTGTTCTTCATGTGCCTAAGTCTCTACGTGACTGTGCTACATTTGTACCTCCACCAATGGAAATGAGAATAGGATAGGAGGTACATGCGCATTGTTTGCTGTTAAAAAGTCTAGCTAAGGTTGATATCATGGTTATTTTTATTGCGAAAAACGAAAAGTAAAACATGAACGGAACACACACGCTAGGTACGTATCCGTTATCCATGTAGTGATGTCACTAGTGATCAGGAAGGTACATGTATGTTATCCATGTAGTGATGTCACTAGTGATCAGGAAGGTACATGTATGTTATCCATGTAGTGATGTCACTAGTGATCAGGAAGGTACATGTATGTTATCCATGTAGTGATGTCACTAGTGATCAGGAAGGTACATGTATGTTATCCATGTAGTGATGTCACTAGTGATCAGGAAGGTACATGTATGTTATCCATGTAGTGATGTCACTAGTGATCAGGAAGGTACATGTATGTTATCCATGTAGTGATGTCACTAGTGATCAGGAAGGTACATGTATGTTATCCATGTAGTGATGTCACTAGTGATCAGGAAGGTACATGTATGTTATCCATGTAGTGATGTCACTAGTGATCAGGAAGGTACATGTATGTTATCCATGTAGTGATGTCACTAGTGATCAGGAAGGTACATCTATGTTATCCATGTAGTGATGTCACTAGTGATCAGGAAGGTACATGTATGTTATCCATGTAGTGATGTCACTAGTGATCAGGAAGGTACATGTATGTTATCCATGTAGTGATGTCACTAGTGATCAGGAAGGTACATGTATGTTATCCATGTAGTGATGTCACTAGTGATCAGGAAGGTACATGTATGTTATCCATGTAGTGATGTCACTAGTGATCAGGAAGGTACATGTATGTTATCCATGTAGTAATGTCATTAGTGATCAGGAAGGTACATGTATGTTATCCATGTAGTGATGTCACTAGTGATCAGGAAGGTACATGTATGTTATCCATGTAGTGATGTCACTAGTGATCAGGAAGGTACATGTATGTTATCCATGTAGTGATGTCACTAGTGATCAGGAAGGTACATGTATGTTATCCATGTAGTGATGTCACTAGTGATCAGGAAGGTACATGTATGTTATCCATGTAGTGATGTCACTAGTGATCAGGAAGGTACATGTATGTTATCCATGTAGTGATGTCACTAGTGATCAGGAAGGTACATGTATGTTATCCATGTAGTGATGTCACTAGTGATCAGGAAGGTACATGTATGTTATCCATGTAGTGATGTCACTAGTGATCAGGAAGGTACATGTATGTTATCCATGTAGTGATGTCACTAGTGATCAGGAAGGTACATGCATGGTATCCATGTAGTGATGTCACTAGTGATCAGGAAGGTACATGCATGGTATCCATGTAGTGATGTCACTAGTGATCAGGAAGGTACATGCATGGTATCCATGTAGTGATGTCACTAGTGATCAGGAAGGTACATGCATGGTATCCATGTAGTGATGTCACTAGTGATCAGGAAGGTACATGCATGGTATCCATGTAGTGATGTCACTAGTGATCAGGAAGGTACATGTATGTTATCCATGTAGTAATGTCATTAGTGATCAGGAAGGTACATGTATGTTATCCATGTAGTGATGTCACTAGTGATCAGGAAGGTACATGTATGTTATCCATGTAGTGATGTCACTAGTGATCAGGAAGGTACATGTATGTTATCCATGTAGTGATGTCACTAGTGATCAGGAAGGTACATGTATGTTATCCATGTAGTGATGTCACTAGTGATCAGGAAGGTACATGTATGTTATCCATGTAGTGATGTCACTAGTGATCAGGAAGGTACATGTATGTTATCCATGTAGTGATGTCACTAGTGATCAGGAAGGTACATGTATGTTATCCATGTAGTGATGTCACACCTGACCAGTAAGGTACATGTATGTTATCCATGTAGTGATGTCACTAGTGATCAGGAAGGTACATGTATGTTATCCATGTAGTGATGTCACTAGTGATCAGGAAGGTACATGTATGTTATCCATGTAGTGATGTCAGTAGTGATCAGGAAGGTACATGTATGTTATCCATGTAGTGATGTCACTAGTGATCAGGAAGGTACATGTATGTTATCCATGTAGTGATGTCACTAGTGACCAGTAAGGTACATGTATGTTATCCATGTAGTGATGTCAGTAGTGATCAGGAAGGTACATGTATGTTATCCATGTAGTGATGTCAGTAGTGATCAGGAAGGTACATGTATGTTATCCATGTAGTGATGTCACTAGTGATCAGGAAGGTACATGTATGTTATCCATGTAGTGATGTCACTAGTGATCAGGAAGGTGCATGAATGTTATTCATGTAGTGATGTCACTAGTGATCAGGAAGGTACATGTATGTTATCCATGTAGTGATGTCACACCTGACCAGTAAGGTACATGTATGTTATCCATGTAGTGATGTCACACCTGACCAGTAAGGTACATGTATGTTATCCATGTAGTGATGTCACTAGTGATCAGGAAGGTACATGTATGTTATCCATGTAGTGATGTCACTAGTGATCAGGAAGGTACATGTATGTTATCCATGTAGTGATGTCACACCTGACCAGTAAGGTACATGTATGTTATCCATGTAGTGATGTCACTAGTGATCAGGAAGGTACATGTATGTTATCCATGTAGTGATGTCAGTAGTGATCAGGAAGGTACATGTATGTTATCCATGTAGTGATGTCACTAGTGATCAGGAAGGTACATGTATGTTATCCATGTAGTGATGTCAGTAGTGATCAGGAAGGTACATCTATGTTATCCATGTAATGATGTCACACGTGACCTGTGAGGTACATGTTTGTTATAGATGTAGTGATGTCACACATGATCAGAGAGGTACATGTATGTTATCCATGTAGTGATGTCACACTTGACCAGTAAGCTACATGTTTGTTATCCATGTAGTGATGTCACACGTGACCTGTGAGGTACATGTATGTTATCCATGTAGTGATGTCACACTTGACCAGTGAGGTACATGTATGTTATCCATGTAGTGATGTCACACTTGACCAGTGAGGTACATGTATGTTATCCATGTAGTGATGTCACACGTGACCTGTGAGGTACATGTATGTTATCCATGTAGTGATTTCACACATGACCACTAAGCTACATGTATGTTATCCATGTAGTGATGTCACACTTGACCAGTGAGGTACATGTATGTTATCCATGCAGTGATGTCACACTTGACCAGTGAGGTACATGTATGTTATCCATGTAGTGATGTCACACGTGACCTGTGAGGTACATGTATGTTATCCATGTAGTGATGTCACACATGACCAGTAAGCTACATGTTTGTTATCTATTTAGTGATGTCACACGTGACCAGTAAGGTACATGTTGGTTATCCATGCAGTGATGTCACACATGACCAGTGAGGTACATGTCTGTTATCCATGCAGTGATGTCACACTTGACCAGTAAGCTACATATTTGTTATATATGTAGTGATGTCACACTTGACCAGTGAGGTACATGTATGTTATCCATGTAGTGATGACACACTTGACCAGTGAGGTACATGTCTGTTATTCATGTAGTGATATCATACATTAACAGTGAGGTATATGTATGCGATACATGCAGTGATGTCACACGTGACCAGTAAGGTACATGTATATTATCCATGTAGTGATGTCACACAGGACCAGTAAGCTACATGTTTGTTATCCATGTAGTGATGTCACACTTGACCAGTGAGGTACATGTATGTTATCCATGTAGTGATGTCACACGTGACCTGTGAGGTACATGTATGTTATCCATGTAGTGATGTCACTAGTGATCAGGAAGGTACATGTATGTTATCCATGTAGTGATGTCAGTAGTGATCAGGAAGGTACATGTATGTTATCCATGTAGTGATGTCACTAGTGATCAGGAAGGTACATGTATGTTATCCATGTAGTGATGTCAGTAGTGATCAGGAAGGTACATCTATGTTATCCATGTAATGATGTCACACGTGACCTGTGAGGTACATGTTTGTTATAGATGTAGTGATGTCACACATGATCAGAGAGGTACATGTATGTTATCCATGTAGTGATGTCACACTTGACCAGTAAGCTACATGTTTGTTATCCATGTAGTGATGTCACACTTGACCAGTGAGGTACATGTATGTTATCCATGTAGTGATGTCACACGTGACCTGTGAGGTACATGTGTGTTATCCATGTAGTGATGTCACACTTGACCAGTGAGGTACATGTATGTTATCCATGTAGTGATGTCACACTTGACCAGTGAGGTACATGTATGTTATCCATGTAGTGATGTCACACGTGACCTGTGAGGTACATGTATGTTATCCATGTAGTGATTTCACACATGACCACTAAGCTACATGTATGTTATCCATGTAGTGATGTCACACTTGACCAGTGAGGTACATGTATGTTATCCATGCAGTGATGTCACACTTGACCAGTGAGGTACATGTATGTTATCCATGTAGTGATGTCACACGTGACCTGTGAGGTACATGTATGTTATCCATGTAGTGATGTCACACATGACCAGTAAGCTACATGTTTGTTATCTATTTAGTGATGTCACACGTGACCAGTAAGGTACATGTTGGTTATCCATGCAGTGATGTCACACATGACCAGTGAGGTACATGTCTGTTATCCATGCAGTGATGTCACACTTGACCAGTAAGCTACATATTTGTTATATATGTAGTGATGTCACACTTGACCAGTGAGGTACATGTATGTTATCCATGTAGTGATGACACACTTGACCAGTGAGGTACATGTCTGTTATTCATGTAGTGATATCATACATTAACAGTGAGGTATATGTATGCGATACATGCAGTGATGTCACACGTGACCAGTAAGGTACATGTATGTTATCCATGTAGTGATGTCACACAGGACCAGTGAGGTACATGCTGTTTTTCATGCAGTGATGTTACACGGTACGTACATGTTAGTTATCCATGTAGTGATGTCAGGTGTGACCCGGTGTCCATGGCAACCTTAACAGCGTGGTACAAATATCCATGTTATGATTAGCTGCATAGATTAGTTGAATTAGTGAAGATATCTTGTTTCTGTCATATACCGAAAGGTAAGGAATAGTTACCCCATTTTCCAATATGAAGGGTTTTTTCGTTGACATTTCCACACAACATAAGTGTAACTATGAAGTTGTTTATTTTCATTGTGTTTCTTTAAATTTTATAATGAATAACTAGCCTATCAGTATATCTT